TCAGACCTTTGCCTAAGGTGAGTTGGATGTGAAATGTGTGCTGTCCAAGTCCTGATCTACACTAGGACTTTATTTCGAAATAACCCCTCCAAAGTCAAATTTATAAGTGGAGTGTCTACACAACCAAGCCCATTATTTCAGAACAACAGATCGCGGAATTCAAAATTTGCACTCCTGCTTTTCAAAAGGAGCAATGCAAAAATCAATAACCATAGCGTTGATGCTCCGATGGCACTCTTTTGAAATAATTTGTCTCCAGAGGCCTCTTTCAGATGTAGCTCTGGCCACACCTGGTGTCTCCACTGCTCTCCTCCTCCTGTAGAGCTCTAAAAGTCCTGGGAGCAAGACAAGCCCTGTAAAAGAAAGCACCTCAGGGAGACATGAGTGACCCCAACGTTCCTTTGGACCCTTCAATGGCAGCCAGCACTTCTGCTACTCCCACGGCCACCAGTGCCCACGGACACAGGAGAGCTCCAGGCCTGGACTGATGAAGTGATCCTGGAACTCACTGAGGTGTGGGGGGGAGGAATCCAACCTCCAGGATCTCTGCACCAAGAAAAGGAACACTAACATATACAGCAAGATCGCTGCCAATCTGACCAAGAAAGGGCACACCAGGACCCTCGACCGGTCTCTCATGAAAATCGAAGAGCTGCGGAAGGCCTACCACAAGGCCAGAGAGCAGAGTGGATGCTCTCAGATGACTGCACACTTGCTGCTACTATAAGTAGCTCAATGCCATCCTGGGAGAGGGTCGGTCACCTCCCCAGCCATTGTCATCGAGTCCAGCCAGGAAATGCCTGGCATCAGCCTACAAGAGGGCAGGGTGGTGAAGGAAGAGAAGCAGGAAGAGGAGGTCAGCCAGGCAACCATGCTGCCAGCTAGGATCTGCTCTTCACCTTGGAGCCAGTCCCCCACCTCTCAGGAGGTTTCCTAGGCTTCCAAGGAACCCAGGGAGGGCACTTCAGGCAAGTTCTCTACCTTTCCCTTTCAACAAGTGGGGGCAGGCGATGAACTGCAAGGGGCTGCACGCGCCTCTCTTGGCCTGGGGAGTGTTGCACAACACTTTGTTCACATGTGTGCACATAGAGCGCTAGTCTGAAGGACTCAGCTACATGACACTCTCACACAGGAAACCCCCCGTCCTTCTCACAAAGTTGCTAGAGAGGCCTGCCTTACTCTGGACTCCATGGCAGGACACTTTCCCAAGCCACCACTGAAGAGTTGGGGTCATAGAACCACACAGCAGTGCCAAACATAGCACAGGGTCATGCCCGGTGATGTGAAGGAGACTGATCTCGTGCATGGGAACCTGCTGGGAGGAGGACGAGTACGGGAACCCAGTAGCAATATTCTGGCAAGCAGCCTCTGCTGCTCACACACATCTCTCCCCAACAACCCCACTTTTCCAGCAGGCCGGGAGAGAAGTTCTCTGTCTGCAGGATGCTGCCAGTGCCAGACCTGGCATGTGTGGGACACAGATGGAAGCCAAGCTACCCTACCCATCTCTCCCACCCACAGGCTCCTGCCTTGCTTGCACCTTCCCATGCCTGCTTGTCCCAAGGCTCTGGGTGTTGCAATGCTCCCCTAGGATGTCTATGCCCCTCTGGAAAGTCCCTGCTTTTTAGGCAATATATGGTCTTGCTCAATGCACATGGTCATCGTCTGAATTGAGACTTTCAGTATCGGCTCAGAGATTATGGCTAGGCTTCACACACTGTCTCCTGAGATGACTGCCCTCTTAACTTTTCTTCGTATCTGGGACAGCTGCAAGCTTGGCATGTCCCTCACCTCCCTCTCCGTCTACCCAACTCAGCGGGATCCACAGGCGGAAATGCACCCAGGAGAACCTGATGAGGGGGCAGATGGTCAGCCTGCAGTCCCTCATCCAAGGACTCGAGGAAGAGCACCAGGAGGAGGCTGCCAACTAGGAGGAGTGCCTAAATATTTAAGCTAGTGCTTCTCAACCTGAGGGTCAGAAAAAACTGCATACCATTAGCAATAACAAGTCTGCTACAGGTAAAGCAGTAGGCTTTTCCGTAAAAGTCATCTTATTTCCCCATTCCCACAGTGGTCATAATGCAGAGAGCTAAATTTTTTCTCTCTTTAGTTCCAAGACATGCTGTTCAATCCTGAGACTTCATGCAACTGTGTCACACAAGAACACCCAAAGAAGAATCTTTCTTCCCATCAACCACCTTCTGGAGAAAAATGGAACACAACTGGGGAGAGGGAGTGAGGGAGGGAGGGAGGGAGGGGGAGAGAGAGAGAAAGAGAGAGAGAGAGCGAGAGCGAGAGAGACAGAGAGACAGAGAGTAAGGAGGGAGTGTGAGGGGGAGGGGGAAGAAACAAAAGAAATACAATTTTTAAAATACAAAAAGGTACAAGAGAAAGAAAATGGATATAAAGAACATAGGACACCTATGCTGATAGACATGGGATGACAGGATATAGAGGAGATGTAGATGCCAATTATAAGAGGACTTCCAGAAATATATTAGGAGCTACCGAGCAGGCCTATATTAAAATTAGGGTTGTTGACTAATCACGGTTAACTCACACGATTAACTCAACAAATTAATCATGATTAAATCAACAACCGTAATATTAAATATTCTGGATACTTTTCTATATGCATATACATTATATTCTGTGTTGTAATTGAACTAAAAAATGTATATTTTATTACACTTTTTGCACTGTAAAAATGAAAAATACTATTATTTTTCAATGCATTTAGTAAAAACTACGGTAGTTCAATCTTTTAGTTCAGAAAATGCAACTTACAAATGTAGATTTTTTTGTTACATAACTGCACTAAACACAAAACAATGTAAAACTTCAGAGCCTATAAGTCCATTCAGTCCTACTTCTTGTTAAACCAATAACTATGACTTACAAGTTTGTTTACACATACAGGACACAGTGTTGTCTCTTCTTATTTACAATGTCAGGAGAAAGTGAAAACAGGCATTTGCATTACACTTTTGATATCTGGCTTTGAAAAACATACTAAACAATCTTATACCTCATCATGTTTCAGCCACCATTCCAGAGGACATGTTTCCACATTGATGATGCTTATTAAAAAATTAAGGCATTATTTTAGTTGGTGAACTCTTTGGTGAAGAATTGTATGTCCCCTGCTCTGTATTAACCATATTTTGCTATATATTTCATGTTATAGCAGTCTCAGATGTGACCCAGTACATATTCATTTTCACTGCAAAAAATACAAAGAAGGTACTAATGTGAGATTTCTACGGTTAGCTACAACACTCAACCCAAGGCTTAAAACTTGGAAGTGCCTTCCAAAATTGGAAAGGGATGAGGAACATGCTTTCAGAAGTTTTTGAAGGACAACACTCTGATGTGGTAACTAGGGATGTTAAGTAGTGATGGATTTACTAGTTGAGCAATCAATGGAATTTCCATCGACTACTCGATAAGCACTTCCGCATTGAGCCTTTGAAAAGTACAAGAGCCCCAATGGGGGTTCTTGTGCATTTCAAAGTTGGAATGCCATGTGGAGCCCAGGGCCAGTGGAAAGTACTTGAAATGCACAAGAGCCCTAGCAGGGGACCCCAGGCTCCATGCTGGCCCAGTCCCGCGCTGACACCAGGCTCTGTGCTGCGCTTCCTCTTTGAAAAGCTGATCCCGGGCTCCACTGGCATTTCAAAGCGGCAGTGTTGCACTGAGCCTGGGGGATCAACTACAGACTTCCCAGCTGACTCCTAGCTCCGTGCGGCGCTGCTGCTTTTAAGCATTCCCCTCTTCTCTCCCACTGCCTCTATCAGATAGAGGCAGCAAGGGAGGCGGTGGAGCAACTAGTCCTTTACATACCTAGTGGTAACCACAGAACCTGAACTAATAAATAAATAATTAAATAAATAATAAATAAACCCACTGATGGCATCTGACTCAGATAATGAAAACAAACATGCATTGGTCCACACTGATTTAGATTGTTATTGAGCAGAACCTTTCGTCAGCATGGACACACATCCTCTGGAACGGTGGTGAAGCATGAAGAGACATATCAATCTTCAGAACATCTCACAGGTAAATATCTTGCAATGCTTGCTACAACAGTGCCATGAGAATGCCAAGTCTCACTTTCAGGTGACATTATAAGCAAGAAGCAGGCAGCATTATCTTCTGCAAATGTAAACACACTTGCTTTTCTGATGACTGACTGAAGAAGAAGTAGGACTAAGGGGACTGCAGGCTCCAAAATTGTACATTGTTTTGTTTTTGAATACAGTTTTTTTTTTTTTACATAATTGTACATCTGTAAATTCAACATGCATGATAAAGAGATTTCATTACAGTACTTTTATTAGGTATTTTTCAGTTCACTATTTCTTTTTTTTTAACTGTGCAAACACTTTTAATAAAAAATAAAGTGAGTATTGTAAACTTATCCTGTGTTACAATTGAAATTAATTTGAAAAGTAGAAAACATCCAAAATATTTAAATGGTATTCTATTATTATTTAACACCACAATTACTTTTTAAAATGCTAATTAAAATTACTAAATAAAATTGAAACAAGTGCTAGTTGTGAAATATCCTGTAAAGTTTATATTTGCATTATCAACTTCTGTAATGGTATCATGCTAGAAAACTTGACCTAAATATACATAGCAGGTAAAAATTATGAGTAAATGTTTTGAAATTTTTTATAAACCTTTATAGTGGCTCTTACAGTCTCTGATCAAGAGGGATTATCCATTGGTAGCTTTCAAAAGAACCTACAATTACTTGGCAGGACATGGGTACAGAGTTCTATACTGTGATGTGTTATTTTGTGCATATAGCAGGGATAGAATCTCTATTTACAGCCAGAGTTGCCATGTTTGCAATATATAGTAGTATTTTCTTATTTTGACAGTTTGATTAAAATTCACAGAGCTGAGGGGCTCATGCTGAAGTAAAGTGCCTTCAATATCTGAAACTCTATAATAAATTACTTCTCTAACAGAACAACTGTACTTACATCAATATCCTCTTGGGTAAAAGTTTCTGGATCTTCCCCCATCATGTTGGCTAAATGTCTCTTTCCTAGGTTGAACTCTTCAATCTGTTTTTTAATAAAAGCCTCTGTATACTTTTCAGGTCCTGAAGCTGGAACATTTCTCTTCTGCACGGCTTTAGTAGTACAGATTAGTCTTAGTGTCTAACCAAAAACAAAAAAGAGAGGATATTAAAAAGAATTGGTACAGCAAAACTCTTAAGTAAAATTATTGGCATAAAAAGGTAAATGTGCCTATACAGTCTAGTAACGTGAGGCTTGAAATATAAGCCCATTTATCACAAGCCTGGTCTGAGGCCTAGATACCAATGATTAAGACTTTGCTAATATAAAGCAAAGCTAAACAGTGAGAAAGAGGTAGGCCCCTGCTCACAGAACTTAGCACAAATAGGGCTGATAGTAAAAACACTAATTGGTAATGGGTACAGGAGTAGAATAGTAATTGGTACTGGGCATAGGTTTCAGAAAAATAGTAACACCACCTCGTTAAAAAGGACTTGGTACCAACACACTCCCCACAGATTAGGGATGTAACCGTGCACTTGATTAACTGATAAGCAAAAGCTTATAGGTTACTGCTATAGACTGGAGTGCCAGAGGAGTGAGGTGCCTCAGTTGGGGGCCACATCAGAGAGGGTTGAGGGTTTTTGGGGGAGTTTTTTTTGCTTCTTACTTGTGGGTCAGTGGCCTCCGACCCAAAAAAAGTTCCCCCCCCTGCCATAAATAAAAAACCATTTAAACCTTTTGGCTACGTCTAGACTGGCACGATTTTCCGGAAATGCTTTTAACGGAAAACTTTTCCGTTAAAAGCATTTTCAGAAAAGAGCGTCTAGATTGGCACGGACGCTTTTCCGCAAAAGCACTGACTTCCTACTGTAAGAAATCAGTGCTTTTTGCGGAAATACTATGCTGCTCCCGTTCGGGCAAAAGTCCCTTTTGTGCAAAACTTTAGCGCAAAAGGGCCAGTGTAGACAGCTGAGATTTGTTTTCCTCTAAAAAGCCCCGATCGCGAAAATGGCGATCGGGGCTTTTTCGCGCAAAATTACGTCTAGATTCGCCACGGACGCTTTTCCGCAAAAAGTGCTTTTGCGGAAATTCAAGCGGCCAGTCTAGACAGCTGGCAAGTTTTTCCGGAAAAGCGGCTGAGGCTCCACATTGTATCCGGCTTCCGGGGAAGTGCGCATGCACTGCTCTTCCCCTCTCCACAGGAAAAGCCAGAGTGGAGCCCAGGACAGGAGACCAAGTGGGGTGCACGGTGGAGAGTGCCCCTCCCCCCCCCTCCTGGGAGAATGGTTCAGCCCAGAGCAGGAGAGTTAAATCTTGGCACACCACTTCAGAGAGGTTACCAACCCCAGGGTTACACATTTATCTACATAAATGCATTATAACATCTCTGAGACAGACTGCTGGCTAAGTCAGAGCTCTGCTTCTACAGCCTGGCTGAAAAGAGCAATTGAAGTCAGCTGAGCAGGCCCATGCCAGAGGGGCAAATGGGAATCAGTTGTGGGCCTCATTAGCCAGAGGGCTAAATAAGGCAGCCAGAGGGGAAGTAGAAGGGCTGGAGCCAGGGACTAGCTAAACCTGCTCCCCAGCCAGAGGGAGAAGCTAACTGAGTTTGCTATGAACAAAGCTCTGTAAATAGGAGGTGGTATGAGAAATTGGTACGGACAATAAAATGCATGGATGATTGCACCAGAAAGGGACTCTGGTTTATTCATGGCTGAGGAAGGGGTTCTAGCTTGAGGGGCCTGGGCAAGGACCTTACCACAATCCCTAATTCAAAATCTGTACTTTCTAAGAAATCTTATTAGGATTTTTTTTTTGCATATTTAAGTTTGAACATTGGCCGTATTTTGACTGAACAATTCATCCCTTTTCCTCTTACAACTCTCTAGGACGGGTGTTGTAATGGGCCAGCTCCACCCCCAGAAGGGGCAGGACCTGGGGCAGAAGGGGCAGGGCTGGGGACTAGCTTTCCCCCAGAGCCATCTGGGGCCAGAGGCTTTGGATTAAAAACACAGCAAGGGGCTTGTAGCTCCTGGCCCTGCTGCCACCATGTTGCCTGGCAGCTGCCTGGGGTTGCTGCAGATATTTAAAGAGCTCACAGCTCCGGCCTCTGCTAGAGTAATGCCATGACCTGTGGAGCCACTTAAATAGGATCCTGCTGCCTATGCCACCGCCTGGAAATTTGGTGCCAAGGGAAGCAGACTATAAATAGAAAGCGGCCAGATGCAGTCCATGGGCTGGATCAAAGTGTAGGTCGGGCTAGATCCAGCCCCCAGCCACATCATGCCCAACTCTGCTTTAGGGGAATTACTATCAACAAATACTAGCAAATATGGCTCCAGATCAGAACTCATATTCCAAGGAACACTTGTCTTCTGCTTTTGTGGAAGACTATAAGATATGGCTAGACTGATTTGTTTTTCTTTCACCAAGATAATCAGTGGGTAAGACAACTATAATTTCAATCAAGCACTCTGCCAGAGAAACAGACATCACTGACAGAGCAGTAATGTCTCAATTTTGGCCTAATGCCAATTTTTATGCACTACTTTATATGTCCTATGTCAGTATTAACAAAGCCTTACTGCAGTCTAACTATTCCATAAACTGATCTGAGAATTACTGACTGGAATTATCTCTATATGAAAAAAGAAATCACAAAAATAAAAGAGCAGAGACAGGAACACTTTGGAATAGAGAATATGTCAGAGTTCTAGTCAGCAATCCATGCTCAACAATGACCTGAAGCAGCTATCATCGGATGGCTCATCAACAGCCTACCCTGTGAACTTGCGGTCTCACTGGACCTCCTCGCATACATGTGACCACATTAAAAAAACAACAACAACAACAACAAACAAAAACTTGGCTTTATCACCAGCTGCCAAAGAGAAACTAAAGACTGAATGGACTTGCCCTCTCACTTCCGGAGAGAACCCTCCTAGATCACCGTTTAAATATGTACGAACTAATATTTACCAAGCGTTGCTCCGGTCCTTAATTTTTTTATCCATTTAAATTCCTGCTCTGAGGTGGGGCTGGGAATGAGGGGTTCAGTAGGCAGGCTGCCCCTGGAAGAGGACTATCCCAGCCCTCTCTCACCACAGCAGCTTGAGACCCGGTGAGAAGCGCCTCTCCATGGCTGCTGCAGTTCCAGCAGGCACAGCTAGGGCAGGAGTTCATGTCCCCTGCCTGGATAGGCGCAGGTTCATTTGCCCCCTGCGCTCCCCAGCCAGAGTCAGGAATGCAGCAAACCGCGCACTTTCCCTTCACACATTGACGAAGGGGCACAATGTTCCTGTACAAATTGGGAGGGGATGCCTGGGGAGTGGTAGGCTTGGGGCTGAGGCAGACCTGGGGGGTGAGGGGGAAATGCACCCCCGCTAGCCCCTATTACCTGCCTGATGATTGTCTCTTTTCTGTATAGTTTGATGAGAAGCAATCTCATTCCAGGCACATCCCATTTTCCAGGCATAACCAAATCCTTACCTTGCTTTAAGTTATAATAAGAGGAAGCTATATACTGAAATTGGTGGTCCTAGCTCTTACCATTTAGGAGACAAACCCTCTCAAATATATAGTAGACAGAGCTTACAAATGTCAACTCAAACTGGAAATGACAAATTATAGACCCAATGCTACAAACACATACATATGCACGTAGTTCCACTGAAGTAATAAGACTACATACGTGCATTTGCAAGATTCAAGTCTAAAGGATATTCTAATTTTCACTGGCTGCTAATGGTAGCAATAGGCTGAAAATACAGATGAATATTGCCATGGAGCAGGGATCTACTAGTTAAGTTCCTTTTCTGAAGACCACTTTTTCCTAGTATGTGAACAGCAAGAAATAGGACTGGAATAGAAGCATCTATACCAGATCAATACAACTTTGCTTTTGACTACCATTCACTAGGGATGTTAGTGTGTAGTCGGTTACACAATTAACCAATAAGCCTGGACTTATCAGTTAATCCTAACAACCACATGCCACCCCTTGCTGCCTCTCTACCAAAGGCAGCAGCAAGGCAGCGGAGGAGGGAAGGATGCTTCCGTTTCTGCACCAGAGGAAAGATCTGTCCTTTTGTCGCATTTTTCTGCAGTACTGTTAACCCAAGACAAATTCTAACTAGGGTAATTACTGTATGCCTAACCAAAATCTACCTGCAGTTTTAGTTGGATACAACATTATTTCCTATGCTAAAAACTTTGTGTATTGTTGCTGCATGATTCAAAATAGCTAAGACAATTTAGCCCAGGTCCAACAGAGTAAGTGAATTAATCATCATACATACTGCATGAGATGAAAATAAAAATCACTTACATTCATATTATCAAAGTGAGACACATGAACATGGATTTCTTATAAAAATCTCTGCCAACAATAAAGATAAAACAGGAGTTAGAGACAATACTGAATTTTAGTCTGGCAATCCTGCTTATTCACAGTTCCTGCTGTACGTTTTCAGTTTTAGTGAATGCCTGGAAGAGAGAAAATGCTATTCAGTCTTATTTTATATATATATACACACGACTAGTTACTTGAAATTCTTTTTAATGAACATAAGAATCCTCATGAGTTAGCCCAAGACTACTTTCTCTCCATGATACTTTAAACAGGATAGTGTCATATTATGCCTGTCATTTTCCCAGTTCTTTCCTTTCCCCCCCCTCAAGCTATTCATATTCTCCTCTTGTTTAAGTTCATCACTAATCAGAAGTCTCTGGACACAGACTATTCATAATTAGAAAACAGCCTTGTATGCAAATTAATACCTATTGTACAGGGTACGTCTTCTGGGATAAGAGTGCAATTTCATGGCTCATATGAGTAAGAACTACAAAGTGAAGTTAAATGCGTCTGGTATTTAAGCCAAACTAGAAAATACTCCTCTAAAATATAAAGGAAGTCAGACACTTATACTCATTACATACTTCATAAAGTGTTCTTGCAGACAGTATTCTTATCATTTTAAAAAACTTAACTGTTAAGAAAATCCTGGAACAATTGAATGTTCCATCAGAAAAGAAACAACCTTTCCTCTAGCCTACTGCAATTCCTTAGCACTCAGACACTAATTGTTTTACATATTTTTCTTTAGAAAGTAATAGCACAGAGGTCTAAGTATCAGATTTGAAATACTGGTGTCCTGTTTATTTAGTGTTACATCAAATTTCACCTATTAAACTCCACTCAAGTCAGTGAAGACACATGAGCATAAAACTAACAATACTGTGTAGAAAATAGGGATGTAAGCTTAACGAATAACAGAGCAGTCACTTGAATAGTAGCTTTCCCTGCCCCCGCTAACAAGGCAGCTCTTGTACATTTTAAAGAGAGCCACAGCAGTAGCGACACCTCTGCCTCCCTTGTTCCCTTCTCCTCCCCTACCCCCAATCGTGGAGACAGTGCTGGAGGGAACCGGTGGGGTCTTGACTGCTGCACCTCTCCCTTGGAAATGTACAGGGGAGCTCTTCAAAGAGAGAGGCACAGCAGGGTAGTTTAATCAAGTAGTCGATGGAAATTCCATTGACTACTCAATTAGTTGATTAATCAAAATTTAACATCCCTAGTAGAGAATAAGTCCCCCTGAACTCCTTGAAACTTGGTTAGGGTTTTCACAGGCTATCTTCTCATTCTTGCATTTAGAGAAAGAATAAATAGGAGTGACACACTTACTTGCTTTACATTACTAACTGGTCTGCATCTTTAGTTGGTGTAATAGCTCCATTGAAATAAATTGTATGTCAACTTATACAAGGATCTGACCCATGATTTCTGTGCTGGTATCAGGCACCCTATTTGTGCTCCAGTGTAAACTAAACAGTCCTCATCTTCTCATTCTCTCTTCACACATAAGTCTATCCAGTCCTCCAATTAGTCTCATTACCTGTCACTTTGACCCTCTACATCTGAGAGATGGGCTGACCAGAACCAGACACTATTTTCAAACTAGGACTGTACCTCAACATATAGATTAGTGGTACAATATTCTCAGTATTATTTATACTCCATCCCTTGTGCGGAACACCTGAATATTTTGTTTGTTTCTAACCACTATTGCACACTTGAGGTGTCCACAAGGACACCAAGTCTTTTTCCTGAATTGTTACAGTTATTTAGAAACCAGAAATTAATGTAAATAGATTGAGTTACTCTTTCCAATATACATTATCTTGTATTTGACTACAGTGAATCATCTGTCATCTGTTGCCTAATTGCTTGGCTTTGTTAGGTCACTCATGAGTTCCACAGTTTTCACCATCCTAAATTATGATGTCATTTCAAAATTTTGTCACTTTCACCCTCTTTCTAGATCATTAGTGAGATTACTATATATTTTAATATAGCATTGCTAATACAATGGTCAACACAATACCTAGACCAGACCTTATGGGTGACTTACATTTGCTTTTCAAACTGTAAATGCAAATTAGCAATAATTCGACTTTTTAACAATGAACAAATCATCAACTCATCATCTCTGTAGTCTTTCAGTCAAAGACTTGACCATCTTTACAGAAAGAAATGTTGTCCTTTACCCACATAACAGTTGTGTATATAACAGAAAAGAATAAGTTCCTCTCCACTGCATGAATCCCTGGGTGAAGCTCTTTGCCTTACACTTTGTAGGTCAAACCAGACCATCATGCTAGTCCTTCCAGACTTAAAATCAACAGTCTCAAGCTATAGCTATACTATGACCCTTACAGTGACACAGTTGTATTGTATTGTACCACTGTAAGGTCTTCCAAGTAGCTCCTCTCTGCTGGCAGGAGAATCTCTCCCACCAACATAGCAGTATCCACATCAGCACAGTTGGGGAGGCGGGAAGGGGAGGTGTGTTTTTTTACCAACAAACTGGGTAGAGTAGACAAAGCCTTACGCCAGGGCTACTTAACATGCTCCCCGTGTTCCGCATGCAGCCCGCAGAGCAGTTTGGGTTTACGTGGGGCTCAACATGTGGCCTGCAGGTGGGATCCTTTGAACATGGCCTCCACTGGGAACACACTCCACAATGGCAAGATGTCTCCCAGGCAGGGCAAGCACTGAAAGTCGCAAGTGGATGGGCCGGTTGGAGCAGATGGGTACAGGATGTCAGCATTTCTAGTCCCCAGGGAGGTGGAGCCGGGAGTGCTGGGGCATTGTGGGAAATGCTGGCTGCTTAGCTTCTCAAGGGTAGAGCCTGAGGGGTGATGACTGGCTTACACCTGGCCATATTTGTGTCTGGCACCATGGCTTTAGGCTTAATCTTTGTATTCATGCTCGTCAGCGTGAAAGAAGCTATTTCCATGTATATTTGCTTGTATATACAATCACACTTAAATTGCAGCCCTCAGCATGTGCTGTATTATTGTGGCCCTCGGGGCTTCCAAAGCCAAGTAGTCCTGCTTTAGGCTATATCTACAGTGCACACCTTAAAACAACACAGCAGTGCTGCTAAAGTTGAGCCACTGTATGGTAAGCACTAAGCAGCATAGCTGCTCTTTGTCAGGAGTGAGCTCTCTGAGCGCAAAATAAAACTACCCTCCAAAAGCGGTGGTAATGTCCATGCCTGGAGAGTCTCTTCTGCTGATGAACCACTGTCCTCACCAGGGCTTTTTGTTATTAAAACTTTTTGTTATTCCAAGGCAACTTAAAACCCCCCCAGCTAAGCAGCTAAAGTTTTAACAACAAAAGTGCAGTGCAGACACGGCCTTAGTAGCCTATAGTAAAGGGACTACCACACATGGGCAAGACGTGGTATTCCAGGGGTGGGCGATAAAGAAAGGAGGCAGCCCGCTGCAGTTATATTCCCCATGTGCCCCTGCAACAGTTGTGCCAGTTTGCTGAATTAATCCAACAGGCGCACACACCTAGCAGCCTGACAGCCGTTTCACCTGGGGCGGTAAAGATACAGACCTAAGCCAAGGCCACCGGGGGCGCGACAGCGGCAGGGCTACGGCGGGTGGGACAGAAGAGGGTTTCCCATCGCAGCGCGCTCGGGCAGCGCTAGGTCGGCCCACAAGGGGGAGCAGAAGGGGGGAGGTGGTAACTGCCCTATGGCCCGGTGATAGAAAAGGGTCGAGAGCTCCCAGCTGCCACCCCTGCTACAATGGTAGCGGCCAGAGCTCTGGGCCTTTAAATTTGATGCCAGAACGCTGCGTGGCATGCTCCAGGCAGCACCGAGGGCTGTCTGAGGGAGGTACAGAGCTCTCTGGGGGGCATTGAGGGCTGCCTAGCCCCACCCCTTCTGGGGGCATAAAGCAGGGGCCCCTCCCACATTGCCCCAGGGCCTGGCAAGGCTGTGAACCCCGCTGAACATTAAGGACATGCTGGGAGCCTACATCTGTCTATTTAGTTGCAATGATAGAACAATTGAAAATGTCTGTGTTCCCATACTAAAGGGCTATAACATAGTTAGTCACTCGGAGCCAGGGGTGAGGGACCACCTGGGCCATGGCCAGACCACGTTTTGCTAGGCCAGATCTGAGTGATGCTTCTACCCTGTAGGCCAGGTCACAACGTCACTCCCTCAGATTTGGCTAGCAGGGGGTTGGAGCTTTTCAGCTTGAGGGTTATAAGTAGAGGGGCACTGGACAGGAAAAGATGAGGATCAGTTGAGGTAAATGTCTGCCCCCTACTTTAATTGGGGGCTCTGTAGGCCCAGAGCTTATAGTTAGCAGCAAAGCTGGCTGAAAAATGTAT